CCGCAGCGCCGCTCCTCGGCGCTACTGGACCAACCCGGCAGCACCCCAGCTGCTCTGCCCCAGACGTCCCCAAGTCAGCTGCTGCTGAAACTGACCAGCGGCTGACTACAGGAAGCCAGAGGCAGAGTTGCTCTGCCCCGGGCTTCCTGGAATCATCATTTTGTATGTATAGCTGGGATTCGTTTTTACAATGTGCATTACATTGCATTTATCAGTATTAAAATTCATGTGCCATTTTGTTGCCCAATCACCTCGTTTTGAGAGATCCTTTTGAAGCTCTTCACATTCTGCTTTGGTCTTAACTATCTTGAGCAGCTTTAATCCTTTAAAAATAGCACAGCAATATCAAAGCGGTGATCACTATGGACATTGTAAACTAACAGTGTTATAAATATTTTCATTCTGGTAAACTTCAATTAACTTTTTTTCTTTGTTTTTATTTTAGTGACTTGGTTTTCTTTGCAGGTTATTTTGTGGTGGATCATTAGTATCTTGGAAAGTAAACTCCAGGCTAATTCATTAATCTGTCCTCCATGTGAGCTTTGATGTGAAGATCTGACTTTGCATTTTGGTGGAAAGTATGACATTCTTCTTCTGCAGTGCCTACAAAAATTGGCCTACTAATAATGGAAATGTTCTGGGGCAATCAAGTATATTTTATATATATATTTATTTAATAACTTCTAAACACAGACATACATATACAACATACTGATATGAAAACATTTCATACTTGTTGATATTTCTTTCTTCTCCCACCATTTCTTGTCTTAGATAGTTCTGTTGCATAAAGCTGACTGCTGCTTCTCATAGGTTTGGTCACTATCTAGCGGATAGTAGGAACTGCCAGAATATAAATTAATTTGATATAGATTTTAAAACTTCTAAATAGTTTTTAGCTCCCTTGCAGACTTTGTAAAGGCCACATTTTTATGTCCTTCATAGCCATCCAGCATTATTAAATTAACTACTTCATGCCAAATGAATTTAAAAGTTCAGTAAATATTAGGGCTTGATCCTTTATTACCTGTCTTCATATCCTTTATTAGTGGGGGCAATCATATTGCAGTCAATGGAATTATTCATTAATAAAGGTTTGGAGGGCAAGCCCTTTGGTTGGAAATTCTTGAGGACGGTGCTTTTGTCTTATTTTTTTCCTTTTAGGACTAAGTATGATAAGGAGCATGATTTAAGAGTAGAGCTGGGAAAATTTTCTTCAGCAAATAGAAAATTTGCAAAAACTGCATTTTTCAGGGTTACAAAACTATTTGTTAATTTGGGTTGAATTCAACAAATAGTTTCAGCCCAGGAAAAAACGGATTTTTAAGTCAAAACAATTAATTTCAACTATCTCAAAGAAGGTTTTGTTTTAACTTTGTTTCAAAATGAGCATTTTGTTCTAAAATTTGGTAATTAAAAAAAATAAACACTGAAGGCCTTTGAATGGTGAGAACTGCAGAGCCCACAGCTTGGCCCCATCCCTGTTAGGACACAGGACTGTTGAAGGAAGCAGGTGAGACTCCCAGGATTTCAGCTCAGATATTCAGAGGCACATACCCTGTGCCTGTATGGATAGTACACTTGGGACTTTATTCCCCAAGGTCCGAGCGCCATTCGAGGAACAGGCCCTGAACGCAGCATACAGTTTTTATAATATGTTACTCGGATGCCACATTGTCTAATGCATATTCAGTATACGTTTCTCCCTTC